GACTTTTGATCTGACTCCATTGCCCACAGTTAGAGGAAAAGCAGAGCGAGTTCTCCCAGGCCTAGGCACCACGTTCCTCTGCCACGAGGAGTCTGGAATCCTGTGTTTCTGGCACCTGTTAGTTTGAAGCACTGTCTGTAAATCTTAGCCATCTTCCACGCTCCAACCTGGACTCCGCTGCTTCATAAAGTTTTCTCTAATACACCAGCCCAGTTTTCTGAAGCCCAGGCTGTAGTAAATTTCTATAAACAAGAATGATGGTGGTGGTGATGGTGGTGGTATAGGGATGATAGCCATGATAATAGCCCATCCTCACTGAGTATATTCCTTGTGCCAAATTCTCTTCTAGTGCTCTTTTGTATGAACTCTGTTTATTTGTACAACAGCCTTATGAGGTAAATAACAGCATGTTCTGATTTTGCCTCTGTGTGTGTGTGTGTGTGTGTGTGTGTGTGTTCTTCTCCCCAACACTGAGTTGTCAGAAGGAAAGGGGTGTGTAATGCAATGTGGAGACTGAGTGTTCAGGGGCCCCACAAGGCATTAGCTGATTAATCCTTCCTCCCTCCCTATATGAAGTGGTATTCTGCCCATTTCTCAAATGAGGGCCAGAGGTTGAATCACTTGCTGACTGATCTCAATCACACAGCTTTATAAGTGCCCCAGTTGGACATAGAATATGTACATCCTATGTCTTCTCTCATCTCGTGGGTTGAAAGCACAATCTCAACACCTCTTACCCAGTGTATACGACCTTGGGTTTACCCTCTCTGTCCTTCAGGTTCATCTAAAAAAATGATACGTGCATGTAAGGAGCTTAGAACAAGATCCCTGGCACAGGATAAACACTCAAAAATACTGATTAATATTATCATGTCTTAATGCAATGTCAAGCAACACATGTTTAATGAGCCCCCATGATATGACAGGAAAAGGCACTGTATTGAATGCTCTCCTGTTTTTATTCCTCTTCTCTACTTTCCAAAGTGCCTTGAAAAGCATTAAGCACATAGTAGCTGATCAATAAATGCTTTGTGATTGATTTCTGCAATGTAGTTTGGGAGTGGGTCTCAAAGAGCTCTTCTGCCTATGGTGAAATATCTCCTCCATCTACAATCCTTTGATTTTCTTTTCATTTCTCCTGTGCCTGATTTTGGAGGCACCCATGGCTGTGTGATGGTATAAAAGCTAAGTTCCGGGAGCCAGATGACCTAGAGGTCTACTTTTGATACTACACTAACTTCGACCTGGCTGAGTTAATTCCACCTTTGGGCCTCAGGGGCTTGGCTTAGCTAGTATCTCAGGCCTCTAGTGCACTTCAATTCTTAGGGAAAGTAAGTGCCAAGGAAGGGAAGACCTGAGATGCTCTCTAGCTCCTAGCTCTCAGATCTCAACTTTCTAACTTGCTAACTTTTAAAAATTGTTTTCATGGGCCTGGGGATGTAGCTTAGTGGTTGAGCACTTGCCTCGCATACATGAGGCACTGGGTTCGATCCTCAGCACCACATAAAATAAATAAAACAAAGGTATTAAAAAAAATTGTTTCGAGCCAAGAAGTAAACTAAATGGATGTTAAAAAAAAAAAAAAAAAACCTAAAAATCAAAACCAAAACCCCCCTCATTTGTACAGATCAGTCTGTCTTTCCACTCCCAGCCTTGGCTATGGTTGGGCTGGTCCCATGTCACAGGCCTGCTTTCTTTTCATTACCCCAGCTCAAGAGGAGGGAGGATTCTGTGATAGGGACGTGTGCACATGGTGAGGTAGCTACTTTGGGCAAAGTTCCTTGTCTTAGCCGGCCATTGGCACTTTTGGTTGCCATTATTACAGGAAAGAGGTTATCAGATTGCAAATGCTTAAAACTTATTATTAAAATTTTGCTGATGTTGATTAATGTCAGGCTGCCTTCCAGGGGCCCTGGTGTGTGTGTTTGTGTGTGTGTGTGTGTGGGGGGGGTGGGCGGTGGTGGTGGTGGAAGGATTAATCAAACCACATGCTTCATCTGAGAAAATGGAGAAATGCCACCAGGCTCACTTCAGGAAGTGGGTGGGAACATCAGGGCTGTAAGGATTATTCTGGAGTCCTCTCCATTCTAGACCATTAAGTCTTGACCTTCAGGTCTGTTGCTCTGGAGAGAGGAAGCAGATGCAAGGTAAAGCTCTCTGGGAACTGTTGTGAGACCCCACAGGTACAATGATTATCTAGGAAGCACAGGAGTTGTAATCACATGACTGGAGAAGGGAGAGCATCAAGTTGTTCTTGGAATTTCAGGATAAATTATGTGGCCTCCAGATTTTTCCTGCAACCCACTTGAGAGTTACTGATTTTCAGTTCTCTTTGAGATTATTTATTTATTTGTTTATTTTGGTACCAGGGATCGAACTCAGGGGCACTCAACCACTGAGCCACATCCCCAGCCCTAGTTTGTATTTTATTTAGAGACAGGGTCTCACTAAGTTGCTTAAGGCCTCGCCATTGCTGAGCGATCCTCCTCCCTCAGTCTCCTGAGCTGCTGGGATTACAGGTGTGTATCACCTCGTCCAGCTGCCATTATTATTATTTATTATTATTATTATTGTGGGGATCAAACCCAGGGCCTTGTGCCAGCTGGGCAGGCACTCCACCACTAAGCTACATTCATAGTACTTTTGGGATTCTTTTTACAGAGAAAATATCTGCTTTCTGAATTTGCTGTTGCCAAGCCCTTGGTTGAAAAGAAAGTGGATGTACCTGGCCAGGAGCTAGAGAGGGATGTGGGAAGGAGAGATGGGAGGAGGGTTCCCCCTCTTTGTCTCTGAGGACAGGAGCAGCCCAGGGCAGCTTGACTCTCTGGTCTGGATCTATACTTTATTCTAAGAGTATCTAAGCTAAGAAATGCAATTGAAAGAGAATGCTTCTATGAGTTGCCTCCTGTCTGCCAAAAACATGGTAATGAGTTGGTAGGGCCAAGTCGCATTGCAGAAACCTGTGTGAGGGAGAGCTCTAAGGTTCTGGAGTCCCCCTTGAACACCAGGTGGGGCCTGGGGTGGGAGCCTTCCTCTCCCTCCACAGGGATCATGGGGCTGCAAAAGAGGTAGGAGAGGGAAGAGCAAAGGTTGAACGACTATGAACTGCAAAGGAGCCTGGGCTCCAACAGGGGAGTGGCAGACTTGGGGCACCTTCTGAACTAAGTCAGCCCTCACCTTCCCTGGGGAACATCCCAGAAACCCTCAGTCTGGTGCACCTTCTCTTCCCTGTCTGGCCCCCAATGTTCCCTTATAGTAGAATATGGAATTTGCTTGCTGACATTTCCCCCCCCCCCCCATTTAGAGGAGTTCAGTGATCCTCAAAGGATCATGCTGTCCTCGCTCTGTAACTGTGTCTGGCAAGTAACAAGGGGCCATAAATGTTAGTGAATCAACAAAACTGAAGGGACTTGGCATCCAGTAGACACAACGTAAGTGCCATCTTCCTTCCCTGCTGCATCATGTCACAGTTGACTTTTGACTCTGAGAATGAAGAATGCTGACTTTGAAGATGTCACTTTTTCAGGCCCATGTTTCCATTCCCTTCGGTCACATGGCCTTGCCTCAGGGAACACAGGTTTTTATGTTCGGTCACTTTTGATGTTGAGACGAACTGAGCCCAGCTCACCTACGCTCTGTAATAAATTCCAAAGCTGGAAGGGGACCAGGAGGGGACTCATCTACTCTGGGACATCCACCATGCACTCTTCCTGTCCATTAGTGTGCACTGCTGAGAGTTGGCTGGGGAGCTCCACTCCTCAGCCTGCTCCCCCTCCTCTTAGGAGCCCCAGCTCAGATGGAGCAAGGCAGAATCACTTGGCTACAAAATTATCTCTATTTCCTGCTAAGGAAGGAGGCAGGAGCAGGAGCCTCTTCCTTGGGGGCGGATTATTTAATCACTCGTCTTTCCCCTCGAATCAATGCCAACTAATGAACATCTTTTGCTTCTTCCGCCTTCCCCTCTGCCTTCCCGCTCTGTCCTCGCCTCTTATTAGTCACATTCTCCTTGTTTGTGCTCGGAGTCATCAAGGATTTCACCAAGGAAAGGAGGGCTGGGACACATTGCAACCTACTCCTCTCCCACCAGGGTGGCTCTTCCTCTCCTGGTCACAATCAGTCTGTTCTGAAGTGATCCAGCTTTGCGGGACTGTAAATGGCAGAACTTGCCAGTGTCACACAAAGGAAAGGCCCTTGAGCTCCCTCCAAGAGGGAGACTTTAGATCAAGGAGGTAGGGGCAAGAGGCGGGACAGAGAACAGAGGAGTCATTTGTCACGGCTAAATGGAAATTTATTGCTATAATCCCTGGGCTATAGAAAGGCATCAGGCTGACAAGGGGAACAGGAACTCTAGAAATTGCTGGAAAAAACAGGCAATGTCCTTAAATCATTCTGAGGGCTATGGTTCTTATTTCCAAATGGTAGTTTCATGGGGCTCCATGCTGGCTGAGGGGCATGGGTAGCCTGAGATCAGGTGGTTTGGGGAACTGGGCTGCCCATTTCCTTGACTGCCTTGCTGGTGTCAGCTCTGGCTAGTCACTGGCCGAGGGCCGAAATGTGAGTTCTTCTGCCTGCCTCCTGCCTCCCAATGTGAGGGTGGCACAATCACCTCCTGGACAGTTACGCTTCACGAGAGCTTGATCAACAAACCTGGATGATATTCACTAAGTGACTAGCACTTCCCTGGACACCATGGGGGATGTAAAAGAGTATGTATGATGTATCTCCATGCCTCCAGTGGCTTGGAATCTAGTTGAGGGAGAAAAGTAACACCAGGATTCAAGTGGAGAAAACCTAAGTGCTCCCTGTTGAATATGCATGAAGGAGAGTGAGGGAGACAGATTACCTGCTGGGGGGGGGGTCCGTGGATCTCTCATCCCTTCCATTTGTACCATGGTTTACAACTTGCTTTTGGAACTTAACCTCTTTTTTGTTTTGATTCCTATGTCAATATTCCATTGCGGGCAGTCATTATTTTAACCTTTTTTTTTTTTTTAAAACAGGGCGATGGTTGAAGTTGAGAAAATTTAAGACCCAATGGACATGAACACCAGGGTTCTGACTCTGGGTTCCTTACTCCATTCCTCATAATACGTCGAGAACTTAGAAGAGAAGACAAGTCTTGAGGTAAGGAGGATTTAGATTAGTGGAAAGTAAAGGACATGAGATTTCAGGAAGAAGAAATAGCACGAGGAGATGCCTCCTTGGCACCTACTAGAAACTTAAGAGAGTTGTGCCTGTTGAATTTAGCGTTGACTTCCCAGCACTGAGCATGGGATTGGGGTTGGTTCTCCAGAGAGACGCATTTAATGACTGAATGGATTTTCGGTGGGGTGGGCGATAATATTGACTCCGAGAGCAACTGGGAGGATCTCAGGCTATCTTGTAAGTTCCTTATAAAGCTGTAGATAAATGGGAAAGGTTCTTGTTACTGGGACTTTGATGAAGACCATCCAGAGGCAGAGACAGGCTTGCCCAGTTGCCCAGAGTGAAGGCGGGGTGGAGAGGGTGGAGAATGTCAGAATCTTTGGAAGAACGGACCCAGCACAGTATCCAGCTCCCCATGTGCAGAATGAAGAGAGAGGAAACTCCTAAGGTTCTCTTTTCTGGTTTCCTTTATCTCTCTTCACATTTCCAATCCTTGGCTTCCTTGCCTCTGACCCCACCTGAACCCTCCACTTTGGAACCACTTATCCTCCTCTGCCTTTCTTTGGCATGTTCTCTCTCTCTCTCTGTCTCCATCTCCACTGTCCACTTGGTGCTTTCTCCTCTGGGTGTTTATCTCGTCCGACCTCTTTCCTACCACCTGCCTGCCAGTTCTGTTGCTCGCAGCCTGGATGTTTTCTGACATCTGCCAGGTGGATCCATAACCGTGGTGAAGATTTCTTTTGGTTCTTCTCTAAGCCCGTCTACCTCTGCCATCTGCTTGACTCTGTTCTCTTTCCTCCCTGAATTCAGAGACCAAACAGGTACCTTCTAATTGGTGCAGTGGGCCCTGGTACCCAACTCAATCAGTCTCTTTTACACTCCTGGTTCATATTGAAGCTTCCACCTAGGATTCATCCCCACACCCTGACCTAGTACGCCCTCAGCTCTTCCTTTATCTGCTGGGCCAGGTCTTGTCTCCCCTCCTTCCTTCTAACCTGATAATGAGACAGATATCTCACGGTCTCCTCGTTTCTTGATGTAATGCCCTGTACGTTTGTCTTCACCTCAGCCTGCCTGTCCAGAAAACAGTCAGGGGATGTCAACCTGGCTGGTGTCACCTCCTTTCAGTCTAGCTGACTGTTATATAAAAGCAGGCTCTTCATAAACACTTTTTGATGCTAATGCTCATGATGTTTCTGATGAAGATGATGATAAATGAGATAAATCACGACAAATGTTTCTGGAACAGTGCGTGGCACCAAATAGGTATTCAATAACCATTAGTAGACTCTTAATCTGAATGATGATGTTAATTGCTTTTCAAGACTCTAGTTTTGATTGCAAATAATGGAAACTGACTCAGAGGAGCTTCAGGAGGAAGGAAACTCGATGAGTTGGACATGAGCCTAGACCCAAGGCAGGACATGAAGTTGGGTTTCATTAGAGTCAGGAGCCAAGAAGTAGGAAGTGATCCAGGATGGGGACGGCTACTGCCCAGGCTGTGTGGTCTCTTCTCTTTCCCCCTTTATTTCTCTATTTCTGGGAACACGAGTTTTCTCTGCTCTTCTGTGTACCTGGTGGTTTAGCAGCAGAAACCCAGGATAGTTTTCTTCACCCATTCTAAAAATCGCAGTGGGCCCTCCTATAACGAAAAACAGGTTAACAAAAGAAAAGCACGACACATTTACCTAATCAAAGTTTCAGGTGACACAGGAGGCCTCAGAAATGAAAACTCAGACACCCAGGGAAAACCGTGTTTCTATGCTTAGGTTTGATGAAGTGCAGAAATGTGATTGGACAACATGTCATGATCTAAGGTAACAGACTGCGGGAAGTCCAGCAAGGCCTGCCTGTCCAGATTCCTCTGGGTCTCTCTGTGTGGCCTTCCTCCTTCCCAGGTACAGGGCGGGATCCTCTGGAAGAAGGCCTTCAAGGAAGAAGGCAAAACATGAACTACTTTCTGGGTTTTATGGCTGCCTTGGGACAAGGAGTTCTGGTTTCTGTGATTCACTCTGGGGGAAGAAGAGGATCAGCAGACAGGACAGAAGGTCAGAGAGACACTATGTTCTCAGGCTGCTTCTGAGGACTTCCAGTCTCCTTTAGTTCAAAGTGCTCAGCAGGTCAACACACCAGACTTTAGGGTATCATTTTCTGATATCCTAAAGTCAACAGCGGAATATGACCACCTCTGCCTGGTGTTAATCATATCCCTAAGCTCGCGTTGCACCAACCCACGTTCCAATTCTTCACGGCCATATTTAAGGAAGAGAAATGTGATGAGCCCAGCTGAGGTTGCATGCCCGCCTGTTTTATCAGCTGGGTGGAGGACAGGATCATATCAGTGGGTGGAGGACAGGATCATACTCCACAAACATAGGCACAGGAGTGTCCCCCTCTGAGTGGCAAGATCCTTAAAAGCATGATGTGTGTTCTGAAAGATGGGAACAGGGCAGAAACAATGGAAAATACCTCCTACACTAACTACAGTAGGAACCATGAAGCCCGGGAGCCTGGATATACCCAAGCCAGTTAACCTGAGGTCTTTTTTCCAACTACCTTGAACTTGTGCACCCCAGGTGGTGCTCACTCCTAGAAGTCTGACTGCAAATTAGCGCTGCACTTAGCTCTTCCAATGTGAGGAAGGAAGCATGCATGGATTATTCCCTCTCCCAGGATCCTGGAGCTTGCTGGGCCCTCCCAGCTGAGCCAGAGTGGCAGCCCCTTCTCAGAAGCTGATTACAAAGGCAAAAGCTCTCGGGCTCCTGGCGGAGATAAAGGGAAGCACCTTCACCCACTGGCTGCAGCAATGGATGGGTTTGCCCTTCTGCAAGTGATTACTTTGGCTCAGATAAGGAGTCCAAGTAGCCGGTGAACCAGCAGATTTTTCTATAATCTCTTTCCTGAGATTTGAGCTCCAACAACCTCAATCAAGTGCCCCATCACCTCCCACCTCTTGCAATATTGATTTTATGACCTCTTCTGGGAAGAAACAAATGTTTGGGCCTCTTGCAAGGACTGCAGAATTCTGGAAGCTCTGGATGCTGGGAAAAAGCAATGTTCACCAAGTAATGGAAGATTGTTGTTCGGAACTCAGGCCTGGAGTAGAGAGCGCTGGGTTTGTATCCTGGTAGATGACTCATAGCTAATGAAGTACTTTAAAAAATCATACTTAAAATAATCATGGGAGAACAAACTTTGTGGATTTCTTGATGTCTATTTTATCATCTCATTTTATTTTGCTTTTGGAGTATATTTGAAAAGGATGCCATAATCTTTACAATGCCTTGAACCTTGAATTCTGGATCTTTCATTTATTAGTATGTGACCTGAGTCAAATTCTTAACCCGTTTTAGCTTTAGGGTTTTCCAAAGTAAAATGGGGGAGAATTCTATACCAGTCCTATTGGGTTACTCTGAGGTTGAAATGGGACTCAAGTGAACCCTTTGATGTAATGCCCTGTTCGCTGACACATGGTTAGAACTCTCTAAATTATAACTACTATCCCTGCTCCCTAAAGTGACCATAAACTCTAAGATGAGAAGGATATTTAAAAATATAGGCACAGAACTGGGGAAAAAAGCTACATTCTGATGAGAATTATCCCAGGAGTGTAACTCAGTGGACTTTGCCCCAAGTTAGGCCCTGTAGAATTGTCACATAAGGGGAAATGCCTGAGATTCAGGACCCTGTTAGGGTTTAAGTAGAGGACTATGGTGAGGGGGGGTTATCCTGACTTTCTCCATACTTGAACATCTAGAAAAGTACAGAAGGCAAACAAACAAACCAACACCAAACAAACAAGTGCTAGCACTTCATATTCTACTTGGATGGATCCCTTCCCGTTCAATTTCCCTCGCTGTTTTAGGATTCAGATGGCAGATATCATTCTACCCATTTCCAGGAAAGATGATCTTATGGTCCTGGCCTGAATTTAAGAGTCCCTTTGTTGGAGGTGGCATATCCCTTCCTCATTTTTTATCCATCTTTTCTTATTTTAATTGTCAGGAAGTCCTTTCTCAAGTCTTTCTTAAGGACTGGGGTTCTGTCTCAGTCTCCTGAGATTGGAGGGTACTGGGAAACCATCCACATTCTTTTTTAAAATTTATTTTAATTTTTTATTTGTTCTTTCTAGTTATACATGACAATAGGATGTATTTTGACATATTACACATACATGGAGTATAACTTCCCATTCATCCACATTCTGCATTACCTCTTGGTTAAGGGAATTGTTCTGTTGACTGATGAATAGATGATATGGCTGGGTTGATTCCTTCAAATATCCTGCTTGCACCAGGCTCTGTGCTGAGTAACAGGCATCCAGAACTTCGTGGGACACTTTATCTATATGGAAGGAAGGTCTCAACACTCAATTTTTTCCTGTCCGGATGGTAAGAGACGGGACTCATACCTGACATTCATTCTTGCTCCTAATCCACTGGCTGATTCTTTAATTTGAATAGTTGCACACAGTAAGTTTTCTCAATATCCTCGGTACTTGCCTGGCTTTTCCAGCAGGGGATAATATCCTTGTGTGTACTAATCAGCTTTCTGGGATCATCCACATTCTCCAGCTTCTCAAATGCGACTCAACCTGGAAACTCATAGGCAAACAGAATCCTGGAATTTGCATAAATGATTAAATCTGGCCTTTTGGATTTGACCAGCGGACTTCCCAGCTGGCTCAGTCCCTCCCTCTCACAGGGTGGAGCATTGCAGCGTGGGCAAGAGCTGGGCCCAGGGTTAGTTAGAGCTCAGTTAGGTTGAGAGCTTAGGCTTCAGAGCTCTGTCTCAGATCTACCATCATTAACTGTACAGCCTTGGTCAAATTCCTGAATTCTTTGTGCCTTGATCATCTCATCCACAAAATGGGGCTAATAGTTCGGAGCTATTTGAATGAAATGATCTAACGTAAGTGAAGCACAGTGTCTGAGCCAGACTAAGCAATTGGGAAACAATAACGATGAGAATAATAATACCCAGAATGAGTATTTCAAGGTGGAGGAGGTTGCAGGGACCTGACAGCTCCACATGGGTTTTGAGGATTTGTTGGCAGTCTCCAAAAGGAAACCATTCCTGGGCTACAGTGGAAAATTAGAAGGAAGGGAAAGGTACATTTATTCTGACAGATGTGGTGGTAGGTACATTATCTGCCTTCTTACCTAACTTTTAAAAAAAAAAAAGCAGGGATTTGGTCCTTGCTTTTCCAAAGAAGTAAATTTCCACAGACTCTAGTGACTTGCTCCAGGATCACACAGCCAGAAGTGGTGAGCAGGATTTGAAATCATGCCTATTTGACCCCACCTCAAAGAAAGGAGACTCTTAAAAGCTAGTAGAGAAAAGAGTAAATAGGTTGATTGCTTATTCAGGCCTGGGCCTTATACAATGTCATTTGCCTTAACTGCCCAAGTTTTTTTTTTTTTTTTTTTTTTTTTAAATCCAGTATTACAGATACAATCAGTCAAGTTCAGAGAAGAACCAACAACAGCCTGGGGTGTAGGACAGCCATGGAGCTTGGGTCCGTTCACCTGCCAGGCTGGTGTTACCTCCTGGGTCTCTCTGTCCAGCTCTCTGTGTGACCCTGGGCAGGTCACTTATCAACGTGCCAATTTCTTCACCTAAAAGGAAGGAAAAGAAGAGCGGCCACTCTGCCAGCCTCTTAGAGCTGTGAGGAGTCTGAGTGAGATAATGGATGTGAGAGGGCTCCATAAACTGGAAAGCTCTATATAAATGGAGGAGTTATTACCATCACTCCATAAAACATCCCCCACGCACCATGTCTTCCATCTCCCCCTGATGCTGTCTCCGGGCTTTAGTGCTTTTAGAGTCTGCTGGAACATCTTCCCGTCTCCTGGCACCAGAGAGGAAGGTCCTCGGCCCTCCACTCCTCACTGCAGCTCCTAGAGTGGAGTGGTCTGCGGGGGCTCCACCAGGACCCAGGGCTTGACTGGATGAGCCCACCGAGGCCCTCTGGGGACCACAGCTGTTTTAGGGTACCCTCTGTCCCCTCAAGGAGCTGCAAACACCATCCCAGGGCAGGCCTCTGCTGGGGCCTTCTGGAGCACCCCAGCACCCAGCTGGGTGACTCTGTCACTTAGCTTTCCCCACCCATGACACTCGGGTGTTCCATTTCCAGTGGCTTCCAGTTGAAAGCTCATAAGAAATGACCTCACACGCGTTAAACACTCCTTTTAAAGGTGCTTCTTTCCGTCCTGCCTTTCATTTTCCTCCCCTTCTTCCTTGCCCTCCTTCATCCATAGCTGCAGTCACTCTGGTCTCGCCTCCAAGTGGCCCCAGCTGATAGCCAGGAGGCTCATCTCAGCCTTCTCACTGGGTGGCTTCCCCTGGAGAGAGGGGTCTGAAGTCAGGGCTGTGAGAGATCCTGGACGTGACCTAGTCTGACCTTGTCATTTTACAGATGAGGAAACTGAGAGCAGAGAAGAGAGCAAAGTATGTGAGCACACTCCATTTGTCATCTCGTGGCGTGGCGGGGAAGAAGAGTGTCTAGATTTCTCTAATTTGAGAAGGCAGATCCGATCGCCTTAGCTGTCCAGTGCTCTTCCCCACTGCCTGCAAGGAGCAAGAGAAATGGCCTGGTATGAGCAGTAAGGGGTGTATGTGTGGGGGGGTGGGGGTGGGGGTGGGGGAGGGGTGGTCAGAAAGTGGGGCACAGGAACTGATGCTAAAGAGAGAACTCACTGAGTGAAAGCCATGTTCCAAAATGACCAGTGGGGGAAATACAAGCCTAGCCACCTGGCTTCCTTTATTGCACACTCTACGCATACTCCTATCCAGAGGCACATGGCCTATATAGAGTGATCTTGGGACTTTGGCTTTCTCTGGAAGTGTTTTGTACCTATTTCATGCCAAATACGGTTTATAAGCTGGGGAGAAGATTTTTGGTGCCTAGCAGCTTTGGGGCACTCAAGAAATGTTAAATGACCATTTACTATCCGTTGTAGACAGGAGGAGCTTGCATGAAATTTCATTTTCCTACCTGCTCCCATGATCAAAAAGACAGAGGAAATGAGATTATCTTCTCCCTGCCCAGAGACAATCTCATTGCTTCCGCTCCATCGACTGCATAACCACGAGCAGGGTTATTGCATCTCTTTATAACAGATGTGAAACAGACCTTAGGAGAGGAATGGAGAGCTCCCGTTCCAACCCAGTGACAGACTCTAAAGTGAAAAGAATCACAGAATCAAAGTCTTCCTTCCCTCTGCCTCTAGGCTGCAGGCTCTTTTCCCAGCCCGGTGTGGGGAGGGTGGAGGAAGTTTCCTTCAGCTTTTGGAAAAGATGCTCAGGTCCTGCTGTGGGCTTTATTGCTCCAGGCTCTGAAGTAGGTAAATGGGGCAAAAACAGAAGGGCTTTGCCTGTGCTAGGACCATAGGGATACAGCTGGCCGTGAGCAGGGCTAGCTCTAGACTGGACACCCTGGCAGGATCATGATGGCTCCTTTCTAGTTGGCTCAATTTTTACAAGCAAGGTTGAGAGTTTTGTGAGTGACACATCATTCCTTTCCTCTGCTGTTCCCAGCAATTCAGGGCTGGCTCCAAATTTGGAGTCCAGTGGTTAAGGAGGATGGTCAAGCAAGCATCTATGACCTGTAAGTGCCTTGTTTTAGCTTGCTTTGTCTCTGAGCTCTCTTCTTATTCCCCAGTCAGTCCCCAGTCACTACTCTGGTCCCAATGAGGCTCAGCAAAATACCCACTAATCCCTACAGTCTTCTTTGTTTTGGGGGGAATTCTGGCAAACATACTCTCTCTAGCTATCTACATCTGCAGGGATATTTTACTTCTTCTTATAGGTGGCATTTAGGGTGGAGGCCTGGCTGGTCAATCCTTGCTTCTGTTTGGGCTGCAGATTCTGCACCTTGCTGGCTCTGCTTCTGAATTCTAACCCTTGCTTTGTGGACGTTAGCTCCCATTTTTCTGAGGGAAACCTGTTTCTAGCCCTAGTTGCTCTTCTTATTCCCAGTTGGCTCTTCTTCATGCCTTTTGGAGCTGGCTTTCCAAGGCCCCAGGGTGGTTCGAATGTTCTCTATCTAGATTGCTCATCTTCCTGTCACTAAAATCCTGTTTAACCACCCTGCATCTCTGGCCATAATGGAGTAACTGGGAGGCTGGCTTCCTGAGGGTTGGTGTTCTGCTGCCCCCTGGGGGTGCACAATCTACAGGATATATATAGATATATTTTTTAAAAATTGGTGTTGGTGATTGAACCCAAGGATGCTTTACCACTGAGCTACATCTCCAGCACTTCTTAGTTTTAATTTTGAGACAGGGTCTCACTATGTGATTTAGGGCCTCACTAAATTGCTGGGGCTGGCCTCGAACTCGTGATCTTCCTGTTTCAGCCTCCCAACTTGCTGGGATTACTGGTGTGCACCACCAGGCCTGGTTCAACAGGCTAATTTGGGAGACTTCTACACCTGGTATAGGGAAAAGTATTGAGGTCAACCTTCTTCCATCATATACTTCCCCTTCTTCTCTTTATATCTCCCTTCCCCTCTCATAGCTGATTGTAAGCCCACAGATGTTTTCTCCAACCGAAAAGGCCTCTGCTGTGGCCAGGTAAGGAAGCCACGGTCCCCCTTCTATCTCAGGAATGGGGATCTGCAAAGAGAAGGCAGGTACCTCCAGATTGTCATTTTTTTCTACAAAGAAAGGAATCACTGTAGATTTGCTCCAGCCTTGGCTTTGCTAGAATAAACACACATGTGCTCATAACACCCACATGCCAAATATTCAACTCCGGCAAACAACCAGACCCTACTAATTAAACTGTCTAATCCATTTAGATGAATGCAACAATTAATTTAGCTAGATAGTAATTGTGCGATTTGAATACTCTTTATTCCCATCTAGTTGGCTGGTGGACTCTTCATTTCCTGGGCACACCTTGTGATCTTTGAAATGGACTTCTCTCCATGGAAGTCCCCACCTCACCTGTCACTGATGATACTGCCCCTGCTTTCAGGAAATGCAGGTGGGTCGGATTGTGGCTCATGCCAGCAGGTGCAGAAGTGCAGCTTGGGGCAGACTTAGTTCCCCTGGGAGTGCGGCCTAATCTGCAGGAGCTTCTCCTTGAATTCCATCTTGGATGGGACAATTTGGGGCTGTAAATGTTTCCCATCTTCTCATTCCTGTTCTTTCTAAAGACTCCCATTATTAACTGTCTAAGCATCAAGACCAGAGAGAGAAAAGACAGAAAGTAGAAAGAAAATCAAAGACAGGGGGAAAAAATCAGGAATTGAGACAGAGGAAAGAGAAGGAAATCTTTTACCTATGCCATTTGATATAAAAAAAGACAAACATCAGAGACTACTTGGCCGTCACCAGCATACAGGCCAGGATGAGGGCTCCCTCCTGCTTCCTGTCTCCAGAAGGGCTCTCATTTAGAAACATTTATTGTCTACTCCTTATAAAAATCCTAAGGTGGCGTGTTGGGAGAAGAGAAATATGAATAGGTATAAATAAACAGCCATGGATGCTACAAGAGAGATACGGTATGTGAAGCCAGCTGTGGTCCCAGAATACCTGCAAAACAGTAGTCAGGGGCTGGAGCCGAATGGAAAGCCGGGCTAAGACAGGTGGCGTGGTGTCTGTGTACATGAGTGCTGTTTTTATGGAGATTCAGGTGGCAGAGACAGGTCCTTTTTTTTTGGGGGGGGGGCTGGAAGCTTATTAATTAGGAGGGAACTTATTTAAGGAAAAGAAAACAAAATTGTGGATTCAGAGTTATGTATAAAGTTGTTTATTTCAAAAAAGGAAAAAAAAGATCACTGTAAATTATATATTTAAAAAGCTGACAGTATCATAAACCTCCAGAAAAATAATAGAATTAAAAATTTATTAGCTGACAGGTACACCTCTCTGGCACTTTCTTCCTACATTTTTTTGGTCGCACACTCTTTGATGTTCCTTCAAATGACAACAATTTTGGCATATCATTTCCTAAAGGGAGAATAGGAAGATAATTCTGTCTTTTTTCTAACACAGTTGATCAGAATTTGTTTTGTATTAATGAGAGTTAGGATTCATAAAACATGAGACTCCACACACAAACACCACTTGTTTTTGGAACAATGCTACAGGTTTATGCCTTGAAACTCAGGAATTCTGATAAATTCTAGCACAAGGGGCTATCTATGGACATGCTACCTCTTGCCCTGTACCTTCATGTCAAGAGACCAGGTGAGTTGGCACCATTGAAACTGGAGTTTTGAGATGAAACTAAATTTTCTGCTTCTGCTAGTGGGTGAGGTCTGCATAAGCTGCTGGTCTCTGCAGTCGAGGAAGACTGTTGTAATGTTAGCAGCTAATAAAGGCAGGGGATGCCTGCCTATGTCAGCTCAGAGGGTGGCAGCTGACAAAACCTGATTTTTCTACCTTTCCATTGAGTGGTGTGTTGCAACTCTCAACGGCAGGCTATGCTCTCCAGTGTTGTAGCAGACACCAGAAGCTTACCAGCAACTTCTTTCCAGGTTCTTGTCTCATGAATTCAAAGAATGAAATCCACAGACGAGGAAGAGCGAGTACAAAAGAATAGGATGTATTCACGTGGGAAGAAAAGAGAGCTCTGGCAGGGCAAGAGGGGACCCATATAGGGTGTCTAGCCACTTGAGTGTCTAGCCACTTGAGTGTGCTTAGACAAGGGATTTATATAGCACTTGGGTCAACCACTACGGATCCAAATTTATGCTATTCAAGGTTTGAAAAAGGACTAACACGAATGGTTCAAAGTTATGCTAATCAGGGTTTGGAACTTATCCATGCTATTGGTTAGTCTTGTGATCTCCATTTGGGTCTGCGCCATTTCCTTTTCCTGTTTGGTCGGGAAGTTGAGGTTGGATCCTGATGCTTGGGGTTTCCAGGATGCCATGCCATGTGGAATGGACATTCTAATGGGGCCAGGCCAGACTGCCATGGTATATACGTTGACATGTCCTGGCTCCCTGGCCTCAGACCTATAATGTCATGGCAGTCTCTAAGAGGCCACAGCCTGTGCTCACCACCCATACTCCAGCTTTCCCGGAGTGCCACTGCACCACCCTGGGCAAGGACTTGGCTTCATGGTTGGGTAGAAAATGTACTTACTCCCAGAGTCACTTCTATATTGGGACAGCTGTCAGTAGGAGCTTAACTATACCTGAAATTGTGAAATATGTGCATATACCTTCCCCAAGATGTAACTGGGACAGCAAAAAGCTTTCTCACTTCAATTTCCTTGGAGCCGGATCTCTAAATGCCCATGACCACTCTTCCACTGACATGAAGAGAAGTGTGATGGAGGGAGCCTGGGATGGAAAGAGACACTGGCTATAATCAGTTTTGGTTGAAATATATTCCTTTAGAAAGCTTTTCAAAAATATATGGTCATGTGAACACATTGCCAGGGCCTTTCCCAGAAAAATAGGGATCTCAGAAATGAGGGGCCTGGACATTTCAGGGTTTTATTGGTATCAGAATAAATACCATTGCTCAGCTTGGTGTGGGATAGTGATGGGAATTCCACTATCCCTTCTCATCCCTTGGAGCTGAAGAGAGAGTGTTGCACAGTAATTATGGGGCTGATTGTTCTGAGTTCAAATTCCGTCAGTGTTTGAGGAGTTCTGTGGTCTTGGGCAAAATACCTAAACCTCAGCTTTCGCATGTGTAGGATGGGAATAATAATAGTAATGATCGTGCACATAAAATATAAAGCACGTAATAGGCAACTGATAAATGCAGGCTGTTTTCTGTTTTTCAGAGGGAGAAGTGAGATCTTCTAGCTTTTGGAGCGGCAGAGTGAAGGTGGAGGGAGGGTGTGATGAAAGAGGAGATATTTAAAGTGGCCTTAAAGTTCCAGGAAGATTTAAGCATTCAAAACCGGGGTGCCTGTTTGGCAGGTGTACAGGGTGCCCAGAGGGAAAGTCTGACATACATTTGGCAAGGCAGTACAGGGCTGAGGTGAGTCCTAGACTTTATTTCCTGTGATTTGACACAATCAGACCTATGAAGCAGGAGTTTTGTGGGATGAGAGTGGCCTGCTGAGGAGGGAGAAGGTGGAATTAGGAGACTGATGAGGAGATTATTGCAACTGCCCAGGTAGGAGGAGATAAGGACTGAAACTAGGTGGTGTCCGAGGTCCCCCCGCACCACGTGTGCACACAGGCATACCCATGTGCACACCTAGAATGACACTCCACATTTATGACATGGTTCCTCTGGATCAGTTGAAGTTGTTTATCCTGCTCTCTGCTGGGACTTGACAAATAGGAGACAAGCCTGGTAGAGCTGTCGCTGGTGCCTGGCTGAAGCTGGGCCCTCTCAGGCGTGCAGTGGGTCCTTGTATGACAGAACAATGCTCCCTGGGCCCGCAGGGTTACTCCCTGTGCTGGCTGCAGCTGGATGACTTGTCTTCACATCTGACTAGGCTCTTTCTGGGAGCCGTGGGAGCTGCCAGCAAGTGCTGGCCTCCAGCCGTCTGACGGGCAGTGGAATTTATTGTCTGCTGAAATGACACCAGAGCCACAGGGCCTCTTGCAGGAGACAATTTGGTTGCTGTAATTGCTAGCCCGGGGGCAGGGGCAGGAGTCCCCCTCTCTCTTCAACACCTGCCAGAGTAGCAGAATGGCAGCAACAGGCTCCCTTAGAAAAAGAGGCTCAGCGACCCCTCTCCTGCCCATCTGCCCCAGAGCCTCTCAGTTCACGATCTTGTGCTCTTCAGAGGCAGACATCAACCAGAGATGAAGTGATTAGTGGCCCCGACCATTAACCGGTCTGGATGTGGAATTTTGCCCAGAGGTTTCTACCTCATTTGGATCTAGCACTATTCTGGAAGTTTCTTCCCACTGATTCAGGAACTTGTTGCAAACCCTCAATTCATGACTGGTAATTTGTTTTCCCTGCAGTGCTGGGGATGGAACTCAGGGCTTTGTGCGTGCTAGGCAAGCACTCTGTCACCGAGCTGTACCCCCAGCCCCCATGTATAACAACACTTAAATGTCCATTTTCAAGATACAGCAATGGGAGGCATAGATTGTTTTAGACCAGGCAAAAAGGAACTTAGAATTACCTATTACAGATCATGTTTCTCATGAGGAAATCTCCCCCTCCCCCACTTGCCTATATGTGCATCTTTGTCCCACTTGTATAGCCTGATACAGTTTTTGGCACATCAATTAGTGCTAATTTGTTGACTGACTGATTATGTTCTGAGTTGAATAATAATTTGGACCAGGTAATTAATTTCTATTATTTTACCATGAGGAGAAGGAGGAGAGAAAGTTAGTCTATGTCTTCATTCATTTATTTATTCATTCAACAAATATTTATTGAGTTCTTCCTATGTCCTGGGTACTGTTCTATGTGCTGGAGACGGAACATGTGTCTCAAGGAGCTACAGCCTTGTAGATGAAGCACTTAATACGTCACCTGGGGAAGGAGTAGTTAAGAACTAAGCACTGTGTCATAGAGGGAGAACGTGGTGCCATGGGAATACATTCCAGGGGTACTTGAAGCAGATAAGGGGTACAGGAGGTGGTCATCAGGGAAGGCTGTTGAAGTCTCATTTGGGACCCGAGGATAGACTGAGGATTGGCTAAGTGAATGGCAAGGGGCTTTTTGTCTGGAGGAAAGTTGAACTAACAGAAAAAGGTGATTGCATCCAGGTGTAAACGCTGGAATGGGGTAAAGATGGGTGTTAATGGGAGCTTTCACCAATAAAGTTTCTTTGAGGCAAACAACTAAATTGACTCTAGCCAGCTCAAGGTGAAGGGCATCATGATTGTTCACCAAAGAGGAATCTGAACTACCAGGGCAATTCTAGGGTCTCTTGGATCTTGTCTTCAGGAAAATGAGCACCATGAACTCCCAAGTGCCTGGTTTCTGTGTGACAGTGCTAAAGCCTTCAGTTTCCTGAGATGAAGAGGCTGATTGGCTCAGATTGGCTCTACCCTTGGATCCAAAGAGGGGTAGGCAGGGAACAGGAGGGAGGGTGGACATGGCTGATGAGAAATCTTTGTGAATCTTATAATGGGACTTCCCACTACCTCTCCTTTTCTTTTCTTTGTTCTTTTTTAAGAGGGTGATTAGGAAGGAGAGCTCTTCACCAAAAGCCAGTGCAGTAGGGAGGTAGGGAGTCAGAGGTTTCCTAATTCTTTTTTTCTGAGTTCTTTTAGGTCTATGAGCAACCTGGCATGTTTAAAATTTTTTATGCAAGACCCATGGATGTCTGAATTTCCCCCCATGCCAGCCCTCCCTGTGAATGGCTCTCATAATCAGTTCTCGCACCGCTGGACTTCAGTATATCCTCTGATGACTCTGGAGGTGGCAGAGTCCTGAGAATCTTCTGGGGCTATGACTTGAGGGGGCTGGAGCGAGGGTGGAAGGTATATGTGCGAGAGTAGGGCGGTGGAGAAACCCTCAGACATCTGGGGGGTAAAGAGAAATGTGCTCCGTTTGCAGGTCTAATTTGGGTTTATCCAAGTGAATAATTTCCTCAGGCAGCTAGGAGGAGCCATAGGCCCCCTGAGACCAAGGCCGCTCAGAATTCAAGCTGCAGTTCTGACAGCTTCAAATTGGAATCGAGCGCAGTCCTGAGCAGGACCTGTGGAATCCTTCACTGCTTCATTCTTGTCCCCAGGCTCAGGGCCGAATCCTCAGGGGCTGAGGCATTCCTCCACTGAGTCTTTGCAGATGTGTGAAAGGGGAAGATGGGTCTTTAGCTACTGAACCATCTTTACTTGTTCACCCGCCAAATGGCTGGTGAGTGAGAAAGAGCCTGACTCTGAAGGGACATCTCTGCCCATTTCGAATGGACAGGGAGCCCTCAGCCTTCTCCTCATCCCTTTGGGTTCTCTTGGTCCATTGGGTGGGCAATGACTGTCAGCCCCTCAGAATCCCAGACTCAGACAATCAAATCTAGAAGGCATCTCAGCTACCTCTCAGTCTGTCCTTTAATTTTATGACAGGGACCATGTGCTCAGAGAGAAGGAGACTTCCCAAGGCTGTTGAGCTTTTTGGTGACAGAACTGGCACCACAACAAAGAGCTCTTGAAGCCCCATCGAATTGTCATTTCTGTTGCCTCTCACACCTTTACTTTCTGTGGGAAGACGGAGGATGCTGCGACTCTAGAGCCAGCTTTTCATTTTGCTGTCACCTCCCTAAAGGCCAGTGTTGGCTTTGAGCCATCTCTGGGGGAAGGAACAATTCTTGCACCTCTCTCCTTTCTGTGAAGCATCTTTCCTCGGATAAACAGCTCTTGGGTCCAAGAGTTAGATCCAGACTTAGCTGAGGAGAGGGAACCTCCTGATTCTAAGGAAGTGCTGCTTAGAAATGATCACCAGTTTAAGGAGCTTCTAATCCCAGGCCTTGAGCGGCACCCAGGACAAGTGTCCGGTTGGCAGAAGGCCCCTTATTTGGGGAAGAAGAAGGGAGTGACCTGGGGAGTTAGCCTGTTTGACAGCTTGGGGACTTGTTCTTTGGGTCATTTTGTATGACAAGGCGGTGATGGTGGTGGAGCTCCTGGAGGTGCTGATCATCCAGAGATGACGTGACCTGTTCAAGGTCAGCCCCTTGCCTGCCACTGGGGCCCTTCAGATGAGAGGTTCTGAACCTGTGGAGCTTCCCTTTTTCTTTTAAGTTTGAAGAGTTTTTCAAACTTGAAATGCCAACCTCATAATTTCAGTGATGATGATTTTCTCTCTTCTTTAGAGAGTGGTATGATATTTTCCCTATTTTTTTTTTAAGCAGGGGATGAGGGCAGAAGAAATCTTTGCAGGTTCATATAGGAATCACTTGGAGAACTTTAGGTATTCTTATTTGATTGGTCTGGTGTGCTGTTTTGGGTATTGGGATTTTTAAAACTCTCCAGGCGTTTCTAATGTGCAGCTAAGATGGAAAGCCACTGGCTTTATTTAACAAGACCGCAAGAGAATGTAATTTTTTTTTGTGAGAGTAGGGACTTGGTCTCTTGTTCTCTGCTATACTCCCAGCACCCATAAAGGTGACTGGAACATAGGAAGTCTTGCTCAAAAAGCATTCATTGATGAAAGAATGAATGAAGGTGTATACTTGTCAGGTCATCATCTTTTCCTGGTAAAGCAATAATGGAAGGGCTTGGAGAGACCATATTTGCCTTGGACATGGTGGGACTGGGTGGGTTGTTTCTGGACCCTTGCCAACATGCAGTTAAAATCATCTAAGTAGGACAGATCAAAGCTTGTTGTCACACAGGAAGAGCTCTTGGGTCACAGCGCCTGTGCAGGAGGATGGGTTGAGGACGTGATGACAACTCTGTGTTTAATTAACGTGGTTTCAGAGGGATCAGGAGCAGAATTTAAAGGAGGCTAAGATTATTCACAAGTGGGGGAAAGGATCAGCTCAGATCAAAGGAAGCATCTGGAGGCATGAAATAAAGCCTTGTTGAGAAGAGGTAGGCAGAAGATCTCCTTCCACTGGCTATAGTTTCTGAGAGGCATTTGAGAGAACTAAACCCTGAGAGGCAGGAAGAGGGTCTGTTATGCAGGCTGCTGCTGTGCCTGTGAGCCCAGAGCTCTTCCTGGACCCAAGGTACTACCTCCATGGAGACCTGAGGAGCTCATTTGCTCCCTCCCCTTCCATCTTCCATTCTGTGTTGAGTGGGGAGCCACATTGTGGTTCCATGGGAAGAATCAACATGGAATCCAAATGGAGGGAATGAAGGAAGGACACTGAGTACAAGAGAAAAAGGCAAAAACTGAGAGTAGGTGTGTGATTGATGGGGATACAGGGCACATGAGCCCGGGGGACAGAAGGAATCTATCAAGGGGCATCTTTCTGAGGGCAGGCATTGTGGAAATGTTATAAAGGGATGGAAGGGACGTGCCCGGATAGAGGATTTGAAGGTGCATTTGAAGGTGTCAGGATGGAGAGTTCTGAGGTTTTGCCCTGGTAACAGGGTCAGCTCTGTGATGGGCAAAATATGTATCTCATCTAGTCCTTGCAACTCTCTTATGAGGTGGAGAGTATCAACTCTGTTTTACAGATAACTATGTTTGGGCTCAGAGAGATTGAGTGACTTGCTCAAAGTCACCAAACCAAGTGAGTGAAGAGTTGGAATGCATATAAATTTGCCTGTTTTTGAAGCATAAGTTCAGAGAGGAGAAGCATAGATGGGGAATGCTCAAACTTCAAACCTCAGTGTTTAAAGAGGTTGAATCTATATTGGTATAAATAATGCAGGTGATAGTGTCTTCCTTTTGATTGCCCAGTCTGTATAGAAAAATCTTACCGTCAGGAGGATATGAATTACTTATGGGGGAATCATAGGTCCAACTCCACTTTCCAAGATCCTGCCTTCCAGATTCCCTGCAGATAGACACTCCCAGAATAGGTAAGGCAAACCCACCAAGTGCCAAGCAGTTGGGGCAGTTTACTGGGTGTTAGGACCCCACTTCCCTTCCTTTCTTTTCATCTGGAAATGCCAAGTAATTGTAAGTGATTACTAGAGTGGAAAGAATCCAGGCCAGGAAACACAATTCAGAATTCCAGGCTTGCCTCTGCTATTGTTTATTCAGCCCCCCTCTTTCTCTTTTTTCTTGCTTAATAGAATTCCTGTTTTTAGTGGGCAACTTATTCCATGTGAGCTTCATGGAGCTATACCATGGTCATTGTCTGCAAGAGCCCTGGAAGCCTGATACAGCCCTTTGATCTTAAACTTCGAAGTCTCCAGAATGGTGAGCCAAATAAACTTCAATTGTTTGTAAATAAGCAAGTCTGTGGAATTCTGTTATAGCAGCATAGAGCAGACTCATACAGTTCAGGAGGTGAGCAAAGAATGAATGACCAAGGTCCTCTACAGTCCACCCCTTTTCCAGACCAACATCAATGTACAGTTTTCTTTTCATATTTGTATTTTGTATTTTCAAAAGCAAAAGTTTCCTCCTAATAGAACTTGGTTATCTTGTACTTAATCCAAAACACTGTTTCCCCAGTTCTCATCTGCATCTAGCTTCAAGTTTAGGAGCTGTGGTTGGTATCTATTTCTCGTCTATCTCTGGCATGAATTTACATTAAGATTCTGTAATTTATAGAATTAATTATAAGCCTAATTACAGTGAACATACAATATATGGCAAATGAGGGAAATGGAGAAGAATGGAGACTAATATTTGTTAAAATATATAAATAATACAACATGGAAAATAATAAACATGGAGACCCTTGTCCTTATTTTCACTGTAATTGAAATATAGATATAGCTGTACCATCATTGGTATGTAAGATTTTCTCCTTCACCAACTTATCCATGTTTCCTTTTAGTACTCATTCAGTCTTTTTTTTTTTAATAATAGGTGGGTGATGTAAACATTTATTTTTTGAGGGATTTGTACCCTCAGTAGGTTTGTCTGTGTGGTGTTTCATTGATTTTCCATCTGTTATCATTGAAAATTGAAATATATAGAGTCACTATAGGTGATCTCTTGTGTTCAACCCATATTCTTTTATGGCCCCAGTTTTTTTTGAAAGGTATGAGGGATTGAACTCAAGAGCAATTCAACTACTGAGCCACACCCCCAGCCTTTCTTTTCATATTTTATTTAGAGACAGGGTCTCACAGAGTTGCTTAGCACCTTGCTTTTCTGAGGCTGGCTTTGAACTCACTATCCTCCTGCCTCAGCCTCCAAGCCACTGAGATTACAGGCGTGCACCATTGCACCTGGCTGACTGCAGTATTTTACAATAACCCCAATGCCCTTGATGATCTACAGCACTTATTCTAGTAACTCCCAATTCAGTGAACTAATTATTGTGTTTCCTGGTAGAAGCATTTTCCCTTGAATGCTAAAATTCCTAAGCCTGAAATGCCCAGAGTCATAAGGACTGGAAGCAAACACTTTTCTAACACACTATAGAATGACAGTGAGAAATACCATCCCCACATCTACCCTTTGGTTTCTGGACTCATGATTTCTGGCTATGTAAGAAAGAGCTTTATCAATGGTTCAAAGAATATACTTCATTCTGTGTGATAGCACCTCCGTCATGGAAATGAGTTGGAATAGGTTTATAAGCTTATGAAACTCATGTGTACCATTAGGACATTCTTGAGCCTGGTCCAATTTATATCAATTCCATAGATATTGGTAGATGGATTAGGCAACACCCTGCTCAGCATGGGTAACTCGGGTTGCATGACTATCTGATATCTAGTGGTCACTAATTCATTCTCAACCAGGGTCTAGTAGCAAACTAAAAGCCATGATCATCTTATCTAACCTTGCTTCAAACTTCATATAGCAACCTGATCTGCCAAAGGCACTTCAGATAATTTTGGATCTTGCAAATCACAACGGCCAGGAGAAGAGATGCATATACTAGAGCCTGAACCAGCTAGAGAACTTTCTCTTACTCTACACTTTGCTCAAAATTGGCAGCCTTCCCAGTCTCCTGGAAAATGAACTGGTGTACTAACCAAAATGTGGTAAACATTACCTCTAAAACCCAAAGAGACCCTTGAAGTAGGCCTTTTTCTTTTGTCCTAGTAAGAGGCAAAAAGTTGTCCTTTATTTTGGATAAAATAATCTGCTATTCCCTACCATTGGGCCCCACCCACTCATTGGACTTGGGATCCAAATGGGCCTACCTTGAGGTAGACTTAGGTAAAATTCTATTTACTGCCATTAATACCCATTAAGAACTATTTCTAGAGGGTACTAGACTCCCATTAATACCCAGTCGAACACTGTAATGGTGTTCTGGGTCTTCTAATTTTGCTATTATCTTAGAGTCAGTATCTAATAATCTTCAGAAGAACTCTGAATAGTTCTTTTTTCCCAGGTAGATAGATACTCTGCTAAATGACTGCAAGATTCTTTGGGGGACTTCTAGAAGAAAGATTCAAGATACAGTTGCCATGTAATCGCAGGGTTCTTACTCAAAGATACTCAACTTCTCCTTTTTAAATAGAAAACTGACTCAGATATGAGCCTTGAGTAAAGAGGCAAGTATCAGTGGGACATTTTAAACTTTAATAGCAGAAAATCTTAGGTGCCTTTAAGAATAAAGAAACTGTATATCACATAATGAACAGTTTGAAGGCTTTCTTGAGTTTCTAAATTTCTTTGGTTAATCAAAGTCCTGCTTAATTCAATAGTTCAAAAATATAGTGGAATACCTGGTCTTTTTTAAAAAAATATTTTTAATTTGCTCTTTTTTAGTTATACGTGACAGTAGAATGTATTTTGACATATCATACACACGTGGAGTCTAGCTTCTCATTTTTGTGGTTGTACATGATATGGAGACTTGGGCTCTTTAAAATTCTTTGTTCTGCCCTTCCCAGTGTCTTGGTTTACTTCCCCGCGATTGCAAATTGGCTGACATGCCGGCTGCATGAACCACTTGCAGTCAGATTATGTCTAACAGAAGATAGACTGTTTCTTTCTTAGAGTCTGCTTTTTGGAGGAAGAACTCTTCTTGCAGAAGTCTCAGCTGGACTTCTGTTAGAAAGGAGGAAGTGGGATTGGTGAGTGGTTGTTGGGTGGTAATGAACATGGCCTGCTCTAAACCTCATTCTATAGGTCTGCAACTCTCAATCACGTCTGTCAAATTAAAATAAGGATCTTACTGATATGTCCATCTCTTTTTGATTTTTGGACTCCATGAGCTGCCATACCAAAGATCCCTGTGGGTTGGACCATTCTGCTTGTATGTCTGGGAAGCTACCTGTTCTGGTAACCAAGCTCAATGTGCCTCTGGCAATTAGTGTTTTTCCCAGGTCTGTGCTACCTTGTGATGGTCCCAATCCAATGGAAACTGTGCATCTCATTTCCAACCACAACTGTTCTCTGCCACCATCCTTGGTTGACAGAGAACAGTTATTCTAAGTTTTTTATAAAAATGTTGATATTTGCCTCACTAATGTATTTACCATTGTCTTCATGAAAGTAGTGTGTTTAGGGTCCTCTTGGGAGACATAATTAGAAGGTGTGTGAGCACTCATGATAATTCCACTACAACATTTCTATGTCCCTAAGGCTTTGAATTTACATCCTCTAAATTATACCTTGTAGTTTTTGATATCTCAGCTCCATTTAGTATGGAGCACTAATGAGTCCAGGTTTCTGTCAGTACACCCGGAAAACAATTAAAATGATTCCTAGTTTTTCAAGCTAGTGCATCAAAGAATCACTGGCAGATGCTACCATATTGATAAACTCAGATGGACCTAAAATTATGTTTTTTTTCCCTTGTTGGCCTAGTACTTTTAGAATTTACCCTTCATACATTTTCCAGGTCTCTGCCAATATAAATTATCAAAGTCTACAGTTAGTAATATCAATTATCATGTCAAAATAATAATATGAGTTATTTTTTAAATAAGTCTTTCCCTTTAGATATTGGATAGAGGGGTTAGATATGAACTTCACCCCTTACCGTAACCTGTCTCTCAGATATGTTGAGGTCTAACTCAAGTTGTAGTGGTAGAGACAGTGAGGATTAGAGGGGATAGGGCATGAAAAGAGTTGATTTCTTCTTGCAAGGTAATACCCTCAGGTTAGATCCCTGAAGGATCATTGAAGCAATGTAGGAAGGAGGGGCCGATGGGCTGACAAGAGAGCTGGGGATCAATGAGGTTTAGAAATTCAGTGCCCTCTGAGTCATCTGAATCTTCCCATAAATCTCTGTTCCAATTTTTAGGTCCACCTCTTTCCTAATCAATGTTCTAATTTTCACCTAAGCAACAGTGTAAGGTTGCAAATTAAACTGATCTTATAATTCAGCCACCTGCAGGATCAAACTTTGGTTTGATTTTTGTCTATTTCACCATTGTGACGATAAAAGATATTCTCTGAGTACATAGAAAAAATCCTTGTTTTTCATTTTGTGCCTTGAATTGAGAACATAAGAATTTGTGTTTTTCATTATTAATTTAAAAAAAAATCCATTTAGCCCTATTAGAAACAAGCATTGTATCCTACAGAATTTCTCATCCTTTTTTTTATATTGTTCTATGGTGGCGACTGCTTCCTGCCCTAAACTATGATTTCGGTAGGTACTGCATTCCAGGTGACTGTAGGTAAAAACATAATCATGGTCTGTCACGTGTTTTGGCAGAGTGACAGCTCTTACTCCTAACTGAATTTTCACTGCATTCAGCCCTAACCTTGCCAAACAAATCATTCCAGATTCCTGCCAATTTCTGGAGGGTATGTTTCTGCCCGACTCTTGGTAGCATTTTTTTGGGCTCAGCCAAGGTTTTTTATTTATGAGTAACAGAAAGAGACTGTGGATAAGTTAAGGCGAAAAAGAAAAGATGGATTAAAAGGACATGGGGTAGTTCATTGAATCAGGATTTTTACAGTGAGGAACAACATCCAAAACCATGACTCTGGGGGTAAAATCTTCCTGTACACTTTTTCACTGAGTTACTATTTCCCAATCATAATGTGGGACGGGAGTGTTTGGTTGGCAAGAGATCAGCTCAAGTGCTAGGCCCTGGCTGCAGGAGGCCTAGGCAGTGATTATCTGATCTTTTCAGCTTCTGCTGTAAAAGATGGGCTTCAGTCCTTACGGAGGCTCCTAATGTGGGGAACTTCCCAAAGGAGGAACTGAGATGCTGAAGAGCAAAAGCAAATGGTAGCTGCTCATTAGCCCTGAGCTGGTTGCTGGCATCTCTGTTGAGTTTTCTCATCTGTAGAGAGAAGACACCTTTGTAGATAGTCATA